ATTATAACAAATTAGCAATAAGTCACCAATTGTTATTTCTAGATGGTTAAAAATCACGTCAGATTAATCCTGTGTTTGAAGACCGCAAATTTTATGAACAATAAATAAAGTAGTAAATCAACAGACAGTATGATTACGGAGAAACCCAATTGGAAAAAACTTTGGGCACTTTTCCAATCAATAATCCACTATAAACGATTTGTAACTTACAGTCTACAGCCTAGATGACGACATGTACTTTCCTGGATTCTGTGTTCCTGCATTACTCCCAGCTGCAATTTCAAAAACTCTCCTAGATTGTGCTTTCATGCAGCAAGTTCCAGATTTGAGAAATCGTTTATCTCCTATGGATCTACAGAGAACACCGCGTTCTTCAACTACTGGAATTTCAAGTCAACTTCCCTCAATCTTCAGCAACTCTTACTGATGTGATGGAAAGAACAGTTTGGTATTTGGATTACAAAATCGATGTTTTTCTCACCAAAACAAACTCAAGAGATGAAGGTTGAAAGTAGAAATATGATTGTATTCTCTCAGATAAATTTTTTTCAATGATCAACCATAAAATTCACGTTCAGATGTGTTTTGGTATTTATAGGTAGGTTAGAAAAGTGATGGGCCAAAGTAAAAGCCTTTAACTCGCGAAATAAAAATTTCCCGGACATCACTGTCATTAGAGCGAGAGCTCAGCATCAATCAAGTGATAGGCTGTCGCTCGAGCTAAGACAGGGCGACAGTCAAGCGTTGGAGTTCTGTTTTTTACGCTCGAGCCAATCCATGGCGACAGTCAAGCGAAAATCCACGCCGTAGTCTTTTGCCATACTCGACCCCTTGACCTAGTAAACCTATTTTCACATAATTTTCCACTACTCCTTGACTTTTTACAACATTTACAATTAAGTCCCTTTATTTACAGAATCGCCAATACATACTTAAAACCTAACAAAGACAATCCATTCATTATGATGTTATTGGAATTGTAGAAGGCCAGTGTCTGAGCAAGAAAGAACCCAAAAATTAGCTTGAAATTAGAATATACAACAAGATAAAATGTACATGCAAAGATTTATTGGTGATCATTGTTCAAATGAATAAAATCCATTTTCTTGTTTAACAGACCGTTGCTTCATTCAGGCAGTTCTTGCCAGAACTCTTGCAAACCCATAATTTAGTCCCTTGGCCATTGAAGCTCTATGTTATGTTCTTAAGATGTTACACAATTTCAAAATAGTCTAATTTTACTCTTTGTAAGGGAAGAATTACCTCCTAGTTCTTCATTTCTGTCTTGATGTAAATCCTAAGGTAAGGCGTCCTTCCTCGTAGTCCAAATTATCATCTATAGACGAGGTAGGGGACTACATCGATTTTCAATTGAGGCATAAAATTAAAAAGGTAGACCGAAGCTTTGGTGCTTTAGCCAACACAAATTATTATTAAAGTCCTTAATAAATCCTTTTTAAATTACATCAAAATTACCAAATTAATTAGTTTTAAGAAGAGACGATACGATAAATATATAGGAAAGTGTTAGGTTTCGTGACAAAAATCCTATGTGATTTAGAAGTTCGTTGCATGAAGGAAATCTAAGGTACTTGGGTTTGTAGAGTCCTATGTTGTGGAGATCAAATTTCATCGTGGATTGGAAGTTTGGCCTGAAAAAGGACTTGGAAATGAAGTAAAACACTTTGGAGTAGAAAAGAAAAAATAATAATAATTTAGACAAGCTCGACGCCGCTGCACTGGGCAAGGGGCGCCGCGCCGCACCTGAATGGGGCAGGGAACCCGGCGCTGCAGCCCCGGGTCCGATGTGATGGCTCCCCGGTAGTGAATTTTTCGCGATTTTCCCGTTTTGTCCAGATTTTGGGATTTCTTCTCCATCTTAGACTCTACCTCATCCACAACTTTGAGGTTTGGCTTCTATAAATACTCCACAAGGTATAGACGCTTCATAAAGTGAAAAGGCAAGACCCAAGAAAGATTATAACAATTAGATCATTGTTGTATATATTAGAAACAAGATAGAATTGTTTAGATTAGATTGAG